AACTTGCTAAAGCTGCGACTGGTTTTAACTTTTGATCTGCCCATCTCTGCCTTCTGTGTTGCTGGGATTAAAGGAGTATGTCACCGTGCCCAGTTTCGTAGTAGTATGACGTTAAGCTCTTTGGACTCTTTTGGGGGCCTCGCTATCCAGCTCCCAAAGGAATCACACACGGAGGCTTATTCTGAGTTATAAACGTTTGGCCTGAGCTTGGCTTGTTTCTTGCCTACTTTTCTTAATTTTTATTATCCCCTCTGCCTTTTCCCTCTTGGCTTTTCCTTTCTCTTACTTCTGTAAATCTGTGGATTGTTGTGTAGCTGGATGACTGGCCCCTAGTATCCTCCTCCTTCTTGGGCTACTTCTTCTCCAAACCCTTTCTCGCAGTTTTCTCCTTCTGTATATTCTCTCTGCCTGCAGCCCCGCCTATCCTTTCTCCTGCCTCGCCATTGGTCATTCAGCTCTTTATTAGACCATTGGGTGTTCTAGACAGACAGGCAAAGGATCACAGCTTCACAGAGTTAAACAAACGCAGAATAAACAGAAGTAACACACTTAAAATAATGTTCCCCACACAGTTTACCTTCCTATCTTAATGTGGAGTTGCGGATGTTACTTATTTAAATGTGTGTGGGTGCACTCACATCATGATGAGCATGTGGAGGTCAGGGGACAGCTCTTGGGGGCTGGCTCTCCTTTCATCACGCGGGCCCCAGGGACTGAACTCAGGTCATCGGGTTTGCTGGCAATTTTACTCACTGAGCCCCCTCGCCAATCCTGTTTGGTTTTGATCACTAATTGTCGTTACTTTTGTAACTTTAATTCCTGCTATTTACTATATAGTTTGTTTTCTTTCTTTTTTTTTTCAAGATAGGGTTTTGCTGTGTAACAGCCTTGGCTGTCCTGTAACTCACTCTGTAGACCAGACTGGCCTTGAACTCTGCCTCCTGAGTGCCGGGTTAAAGACCTGTGCCACCACCGCCCAGCCATTGCTATTACTTTAATAAAAACACCCTTTGCAGGGCTTGGGATCAAACCTTTGGCCTCAGACTTGTTAGGCAAGTGTTCTGCTTCCGAATTATATTCCTGGTCCCAAAGACCCATTTAAACCGGTGTAGAAGAGAAGCAGCGTGAGATGGGGCACATTCTGTACTCGGTGCTCTCCGAGCAGAGACAAGGATCACTTCTTCAGATGTGAGGATAGCCTGGGCTACATAGTGAGACTTTCTCAGAAAGCAGGTGGGGTAGAGAAAGGGTGGGGGAGAAGGAAGCGGAGAAGGAGAGGACATAAGTTAGCTTCCTGGTTCTTGCGGATGCTGTCTTCCCTATAGAGAGCTATCGTGGTAGAAAGACCCAAGAGAGTACAGTCGACCCTTGGCTGCTGGACTGGCCAGGGCAACATGTAAGACTTCCTCTGCCCACATTTCCCACCCCAAATGAAAACCAAGGACACAGAAGAAGCAGAATGAAGTCTATAAGAAGTTAATAGTTGGGGGACATACCAAAAATTATGGTGATTTTTTTTTTTTTAATATAGGTTCCAAGTTCCTTTCGTCTGTTAGCATGTTTTGGAGCTGACATTTCCCCTTCTGAACTGGTGTATACACTGTATCATGTAACACCTCTGTTGAGGTCTGTGCCAGCTTTATCTTATTGATATTTCTGCAGCAAGAGGGGCAGGGCAATATTTGCTGTAGGACAAAATAACAAATCCCTCATTGGCTCAGGCCGGATTCTACAGTTGACTGCATTGAGGTCAGGGTGGACTTCTGCCGGGAGAGACTTTCGGAGTTTTGGACTCTGGATCTCTGGTTCTGATATCATGGGAATATAGACAGTTCATAGCTCTTCTTTTTAAAGACAGGGCCTGGCATTGTTACACAAGCTGACCTCAAACTCAGGGCAGTCCTCCTGCCTTGGCCTCCCAAGCTGTGGTATCGTGGCTTGTAGCTCCCTTTAGCAGTGATTAGGACACTAGGCCATATTCTTTTTATAGGGCATGTCCAGGTCCCGATATTAAAACAGCGTCTTCATATACAGCCCATTTTCTCCTTACAGAAAGGTGAGGGTCCAGTGGGGTCTAAAGGTGGCTTCCCTTTGGTAAGAACCAAGGCTTGCTCTTAGTTTTAATGTGTCACTGAGGGTTGAGTCCTCTTTACTGTGAGGGAGATAATAGTTTGCAGACAGGCGAGCTCTATAGTGAGGATTTAACAGCTCGAAGCACTAGAGTCTAGGTTGTCTGTGTCGTGGAGATCTGTGGATCTGACTCCACGTGAGTCCTTTCTTACAGCGTCTTTGTCAGAGTTGGTTAATGCAGTGCAGGAAGACTGGACTGTTAGCAGAAGAAATGCAGTGGGTGCAGGGCTCCGGTCGCTGTGAAGACATGCAAGGGTGCAGGGCTCCTGTGGCCATGAAGACATGCAGGGGTGCAGGGCTCCTATGGCCATGAAGACATGCAGAGGTGCAGGGCTCCTGTCGCCATGAAGA